AGAATCTACCAGGAGATGTATGGACAAGATGAAAAGGGCGTAAGTAACGTGCACGGGGCTGTGAGGGGAGAATGACGAAAATCCACTAAGTGAGTTGTCTCCCCTCTATTTATGACAACGAGTTGTGAGTAACGTGCTGTGAGGGGAGAAGAACGAAAATCTACTAAGGGAGTTGTCTCCCCTCTGTTGGAGACTACGAGGTGTGAGTAACGTGTTGTGAGGGCAGAAGAACGAAAATATACTAAGGGAGTTGTCTCCCCTCTATTGGTGACTACAAGGTGTGAGTAACGTGCTGTGAGGGGAGAAGGTCGAAAACCTTTTAAGGGAGTTATCTCCCCTCAGTCAGTTGGTGTGAGTACGTGCTGTGAGGGGAGAACAACGAAAATCTTCTAAGGGAGTTGTTCCTTTTAAGGAGATCCCCCCTGTAGCCCTACCAGCAATAGTAGTACACTCAGGGTAGGAAACAAATATACCGTTAATCTCAAGGGTTACACTCTGCATAAACCCTTAATCCCCGGGTTCATAAAAATACAACCCTTAATTTGTGGGGCCAGCTGAAAAACTACCCTTTATTTGACTCGAATTCAGGGCAACAACCCTTAAAAAATAGGCCCTGCTTCAGACCCGCCCAGTTTGAGGGATCTCGCCCAATTTCTTTACAGTACTCCCATTGGCTTTCTTTCGTCAAAGTTGGCGTCGCCCCCTTCTTAAGCACTCCCATTCAGTCTTATCACGTACAGGACATGGGGCGTCTCGCTGTCAATGTGGAATGTGTGTCATCTGGCTGGAGAAGTGGAAGCGCACTCTAAATCTGCTTGGGCCAACTTCGATTTCACTCACAACGTACCAGAGCGCGTCATCAATGTGGCTCAATTTTGTAATTTAGCGTAAAGACACGGCACATTCTATCCACTCTACATGCCGAAACCTTTTCTGCTTATTTTAATATTCCAATCCAAAATGGAAAAGTAAGCATCGTAACATTCAGTCTCGATAACTTTCAGAACTTTTCACTTAGGGAGTATTTGCGCTCGGGGAAGCCGCGAGGCGGCCACCCAATATACGGCCGACATCACTGAGTTTGAAATTGTTATTCATCCAGTCCGTATAAATAATGCACTGATTTCGTTCCATGAGGCTTGGACTGCGCGCAAAACACTCCCTGAGTGTTTTCGAAATCCGCAAAGTGAATCACAACAATCTGAGCGGGAGAGTTTCTTTCTTCGTGCGAGTGGTGCCCAAATACAAGTTCCCTCTCTGCGGAAATAGAAACAGTAAAAAATGCATGCTACTTTCTGGATCGAGTGGGAAGTGATGCATATACTTATTTTTAGTCCCCATAAATGGGTTTAATCAGACTTGTATTCAATCTAGAAATCTCCCTCAGATTTCGTCTGCAACATGTACTGTACAATTATGTGGCTCCCGTCATTTGTACCCGAATTTCTAGGCAGTTGGTCTCGTGATTGTGGCATCGTTCTGTTCACGTCAGGCCTGCAGTTCGCATGTGCGCCTCGTCTGGGTGGCCCGAATATACTTCGCAATGTTCTATGAGAATCACGGGACAAATGAGATCTTTTTCATTTCTTTTTTAAGTGAAAATAAGCAGAAAAGGCTTCAACACGTAAAGTGCATAAATTGTGTCATATCCTTATGCTAAATTACAAAATTGAGCCAAAATCGCAACCTTTTCCCAATTTTGTTGTTTTTTTGTCAAATCGATTCACTCACTTGAGAACGATTTCACACATTCCATCCTGTACGCGATCTGCAGCCTCCCTTCTTGAAGTTTGATTTGCAGCTTTGCCAACTGCTGCCCTCGCCGAGTTTTTGTCGTCAAAACAGGGCAACCAGCAGATGCCCTCGCATATTCCGCACCGCGTGCGGTGGGGGGTATTGTCTTGGCACAGACACTGGTTTTCGCTTGCGAAAATGTAAGGCGATGTAAGTTTCGTGATTTTGTGAGGGGGCAACTTGGTACTTTGTCGCGCTGAATCGGTCCTGTGTTCGACGTGAAAAATCGATTTCACGCGATTGTTTTGGAAGTTATTGTGCTTGACAATCTGGTATTTGCTAAGCTCGGAAGGCACTATAACTTGATGGTAACCTGCTTTGTACAATGCTAAAATCGTGAAACGATCGTCAAACCGAACGGAATGTACCTCGTCCTCAATGAGGTTACTGTTGGGGTGGACCACGTAGATCGTGGGCAATCTGTAAAAAAACCTAGCCTCGTGTTTCCCTTGATGTTTCATAGATAGTTGACTTTTGTCGTCGTGTGATTATGGCGGTTGGGAATTGTCGTGTGCTCCACGTCTCATCGTACAGCCAGACTTTTTTCAGATCACGGGTGTAGATCCCCGACACGAGCGTCGATCACTGTAACGCGGACGATGGTCCCGAAATACTGTGCTGTATCTGTTGTAACAGGCATCGGGGAGGCATGAATGGATCCATGCCTACCTTGACCCCCCTGAGCCTCACTCAAACTTGCCAGCCTGGCTCGACCACGACGTATGTACAGCTGTACAGCTGTTCTGTGGCCGGTCTGGCAAGATCGGAGTCGCGCCGCGAATCGCGAAACACGTTTGAAATTCGGCCATCTCGATGCCTCGCAGCCACATCACAAATTTGCCCCTTATGCCCCGTCTGCAAGAACAGGCAACTTCCTTCACCTCACCCCCTCTTGGCTCCCTCGACTCACTCGACTCCAACACTCTTGCTATTGAAGGACCACACACATACATGCACGCCTCATATTTATTCCCAGCTTTTGAAGCAGCCGAGCACCATAATATCCCACGCGTTTATCGAGACCGCTGCTTACGATACAAACGCAACGACCAGCACAACTCATCCATATTAGGCCCGTATTCAGTCGAAGTGCACTGCACCGAGGTTGGAACCAGTACCCCTTGAATAGTATTACAAATTTCAGATTCGAACGGAAGCGTCGCGAAGGGCCGCATCATCGGATCAGTTTTCTTATTGTTATTGCGAGTAGCAACGCTAGCAGCTGTTTTCCGCGGGGGAATGGCGGCAGCTGCGGTCCTTCAGGTGGCAGAGTCGAAATTCTCCGACCAGCCGTCACGATTACCCGACAGATTCCGCCGCACCTTCCGCCGCATCAACCTCTGCGGCGCACAAGTCGGCGTTCCGAGGCGATCTCCCAATGGATCCCTCGTCTCTCGCCGCCGCCAGATCCGGCGGCTCCGCCGTTGGCGGCGCAGATGGAAGGCCCGTCGCGTACGCGGCTTATACGCATGAGACAAAAGCGACGGCGATTGTAGCGGCGAGAGAGCGAAAAAGCGACTGTAGCGACCGAGCGACGGAACATACGTGTAACGAACGACAGCTACGACCACGACTCCGAGTCGGCTGACTGGACCAGGACTTCCTGCTACACTTCTAGCGAAGATATTCACACCGTTGTTAGCGCTACTACTGCTACCGAAGCCTCCCATATCGAGAGAATCCCGCGGTTTCCAGCGAGGGGCTCCGCGGCTGCTGGCGGCGCCGCCGGTGGGGGCGCGTGCCACCGAACCTACTCGGTTCGGCCCAAACGTCAGCCCGTGCTTCGGCACGCGGCGGAGGTGATTCTTTTTCCCAGGGCGAGCTTCCATCGTGCAAGCGACCGTCGCGGCGCCGCCGACTCGGCGGACCACTACAACTACAACTCCGAGTCAGGTCACAGCCAGCCGAGTCGCCCCGCGACTCGGGGTCGGCCAGTCCACGCGCCGCGCTTTGACTCGGTCGGCGTCGTTCGTCGGAGGCGACTCGGGGGCACTGTCCAGTTCAGACTCGTCTTTCGCTTTCCACGTCAGCGCCTCCGGAACCGCCATCGTCGCTACTGGCAGTGCCGCCGCCGGAGACGCCGCATCGGCCGCCGCATCGCCGGAGGCCATGTCGGCGGAGGCGGCGGCGGCGGCGGTGGTGGCAGCGGGGCAGTCATCACCGGTTTACTCGGCTGCAGAAACCGGCGGAGAGGGAACGCCCACGCCCAGCTCCATGGGGTCTCGATCTCCCTCTCGAGCGCCGTCAGATGCGGCCGGCGGCGACGGCGGCGGCGCAAACCGTTTCTCCCGGGAAAGGGGCTTCCGGTTCCTTCGCTATAGGAAGCCGCGGCGGCCCCCGCTCCCCGACTCCGCCCACCTCCCCCGCCGTTCCGCGGACCCCCAGCCTCTGCCTTCCCCCTTCACCTGCCTCCTCCCGGCGTACCCAGCCTCCGCCCTCGCCGTCTTACGCTTCCGCCCGCCCACTTCCGCCGACTTCCCCTTCCGTCTCCCCCCGCAGGGCCTCGCCCGTTTCCTCCCCTTGCGATTCGCCCTCGTCGTCGTTCTCGTTCGCCGTCCCTCGGGCGACGTCGCACGAGTATCGAGCCGCGGTGGCGGCGACGATTAACGGCGTCTCCGGTAGCGGCGGCGGCGGCGGCGGAATTGGCGGCAGCAAATCCGGGCAGCAGGGAAAGCTTCTTCGCAGCGTGAGCAGCCAATGGGACAGCTCGTCGCGCAGCCTCCGGGCAGGGCGGAATCTTGCTGGAAGCAGCCCGAACCGGATGCTGTCAGTCAACGTGCATCTGCAGGCAGCAATCGCGTGTGTAGCGACTGACTCAGCATCCGTCGCAGCTGACTCATCATCTGCTGCGGCTGAGTCACCATGTGTCGCGGAAGCGTCCCCCTCTGCGCCTCCTGCTGCCGCCCGGAGTGCGACAGCTGGCGGCATCCTGCGACGTGGCGGGCTGAAGCGCATGCCGTCGCTTGACACCATGTCATCGCCTGCGTATGCCACGTCGCCACCGTCCCCCGCCAGCTCACCACTCACCAGAGCTGCTGCTGCTGCTGGTGGTGCTGGTGGTGCTGCATCTAGCACGGCCAGTGCTGGTGTCAACGATACTGCATACACCACTGCTGCTGCAGCTATTTCTGCATCTTCTGCCGCACATCACTCCCGCGGTCTCTCACTCGGCGACTCCCCCCCCACCCCGTCCCTCGGGGAATCCCCTATCACTACCCCTCAGCTTTCCCCGGGCCCTTCTCCCGGGCGGGGCCACGTGCGGCGTGTGTCGTTCTGCAGCATGGTGCGCGTGAGGCGGTTTTCCGCCTGCGATGCTGACCTGGGCCCCGCTGCTGACGCGGCGATCACGGCATTCGAAGAGGCAGAAGCAGCAGCAGCCGCTGCAAGGGCAGCCGCAGCCGCAGCCACAAAAGCTGCAGCTGCAGAAGCGGCAGCGGAGGCAGCAAGAGAAGCAGACGCGAAGGCAAGGGTTCATCCTGCTTCAACTGTTTCCAGACATCCCATGCATCGCGGCAGCAGGAGCCTAATCGAGCGCCCTCACCACTCCCAATCCCCTCCATATTTCGGTGCGAATCAGACGAACCCTGGACAGCGGGTGGCTGGCACGAGCGAAAGTTTAATCGAGTGCTCACACCGCCACTCCAGGTCTCCGTCCTATTCTGGTGTGTTTCCCCTGAGCCCCGATCTTAGTGGCCCGTCCCAAGCTATCCGCCGAACCTCGTCGTTTCAGCACAGTGGCCCGGGAAGCCCAGCCCGCTACAGCAGGAGCCATGGCTACTCAGCGGCAGCAGCAGCAGCACCACGCGGCTCGGAAGAGAGAAGAGGCGGAAGCAGGAGTAGAACTCACACTCCAGGAATAGAGATTTCAGGAGTAAGCGAAGAACATGGGGAGCCTCAGCTTGCGATCCCAAACCTCACGCCTGGTTCCAACGAGCATCAGCTTGGGATCCGAACCCCCGTGCCGCCTAAGATGCCTTCCCCTCGGCTGGCTCCTTCCCCCCGTGTGCAGAGGCTGTTGCAACACATGTGGGGGGATGTGGGCGATGGGAATGAAGCTGCATAGGAGCTCTACAGGAGAGGTGTCAAGTATGATACAGGATCTAGGGCATCAGATGTCAACTTATATATATTATTTTTAGTATATAGTTGTGTAGGCTTGGTAGGTTAGGTGTGTTAAAGTAGTACTAGGCTAGGAGGAAGTGAAAGGAGGCCGCCATGGTTGTGGCGGCGGGGTTTAGCTAGGAGAGTAGGAAAAATGTCGAGAGGAAAGAGAGTTGGATTAGGAAGAGAGAGGAGTACAAGGAGGGGTTTGTATCAGAAATTGAAGTGAATAATTGTTAGAGAGAGGGTACACACAGATATACCTAAGTGTTGTACCCTCTAAGAGGCTACCCTATACAGTCTATACAAACATGACAAATACACATGTTTGACACACCCCCTAGACTGCATAGGGGAATGTCCTAAACAAGCAGCTCAGGGCGGCACTACTAGTCCAACCTCTGAGACAAGGGTCTGAGAGACCAGTCAGAAGGAGTACAGACAAGGCAAGAACAAGGGCAGGGCGGCACTACTAGTCAAGCCACTGGGAGAGGACACAAGTCCAGTCTGAGTATACATATAAAGGACAGTACAAAGTCAAGGTCCTAGCAAGTGAGAGGCTACAGGAACTAGACCAAGCTGTACACAGTGCCGCTGATGATCTTTAGGCGCAAGCGCCTTCGTAAAGATATCAGCCGTGTTGGCACCTGAGGCCAAGTGTACTACGCGAGCCTGACGTCGCTGCTGTAGCTCACGCAGGAGGAAGTACCGCAGCTGAATGTGCTTCGCTCTGCCCTCGAGTCGAGGCTCCTGACACAGGAGGATCATGGCCCTGTTGTCAGCGAACAGGACCGGGGCAGAGCTAGGCCGCTCACCTAAGTCAGTGAGCAAGAAGGTCAGCCAGCGGAGCTCCTGTGCCGCCATGGCACCAGCGTAGATCTCAGCCTCACAGCTGGACTGCGCCACAGACGAGGAGCGAGTAGCTCTCCACGAGACGGCACCTGAGCCAAGGCTGAAGCAGTAGCCCTGGGTAGACCTGAGTGTCTCAGCGTCGTCTGCCCACGAAGCGTCTGTGTGTCCAGTAAGGACCACTGGCCTGCGTCCTCCTAGCACTAACCCCATGCCCGATGTACTAGCAAGATAACGCAAAACCCTCTTAGCGGCAGACCAGTGCTGCGGTCGGTGTCTGCCTGTGGCCACAAAACGAGCCAGGATGCTGAGAGGGTATGCGAGATCTGGGCGAGTGCAAGTCATCAGGTACATGAGGCAACCCACCAGCTCTGCGTAGGGGCCGCTGGGCTCTACCAACTCCTCAGACACTGGAGCGGAGAGCCTGTGGTCTACAGGCAGAGGGGTGGGCTGTGCAGAGGAGAACTGAAGGCTGAACCTCTGAAGGACCTGGCGCACCAAGTGTGACTGAGTCAGAGTAATGGTGCGCGCAGCTCTGTCCCTGGAGATCTGCAAGCCAAGGTAGCGGCGCAGTTCTCCAAGGTCAGTGCAGGTGTGTCTCTTCAGCAGCTCTGCCTTCACGGAGGCCAGTGCGTCCCTGTCTGCTGTGGCAAAGACCAGGTCGTCGACGTAAACAAGGATGTAGAACGGAGTCTGGCCAGCACGAACGAAGAGGGAAGGGTCTGCGGAAGACGGAAAGAACTGCAGGTCAGCAAGCGTAGCACGGAGAGTGTCGTGCCACTCACGGGGAGCCTGGCGCAGGCCGTAGACGGGGCGCCGCAGGAGCCACTGGGTCCCAGGAGGGAAGGTGCCAGTAAAGCCCGGAGGGCGACGTAGGTAGACCTGCTCGTGTAGGCTGCCCTGAAGGAAGGCAGTGGAGAAGTCGAGGGAGTGAAGCTCGTAGTCACGCTGAGCAGCTAGGTGTAACAGAACCCGAAGAGTAGTCATCTTCGTGGTCGGAGCGAAGGTCAGGAAGAAGTCCACCCCCTCGCGCTGACTGAAGCCTCTAGCCACGTAGCGCGCCTTGAACACAGGCGGCTCTCCAGGAGGGCGCTTCACCTTGAAGAGCCAGCGGCCATCGACTACGTTCACCCCAGGCGGGGGAACTGCGTCGACGAAGGTGCCGGTGGATCTCCAAGATGCCATCTCCTGCTCCATGGCAGCTATCCACTGCGAGGCCCAGGGTCCCGAGGTCGCCTCAGCGTAAGTGCGAGGGGTCGGGATGTCGAAAGCGTCTGGGTCACCCTCAGGGACTAGCAGCATGGAACAGAGATGGGGAGCAGCCTCGGACAGGAAAGCAAGCTCGAACTGGCGGTCCTCCAGGACGTCACTGCCAAGGGCAGGAGCACCCCCGACAGACGGAGGACAGGCAGGGTCAGAGACCAGAGCGGTGGCGTAGTCAAGGCGGCGGGTAGAGGCGAAGTCAGCGACCGCAGCGACAAGGGCGTCAAGGCACGAGACCGGAACAGACGGGTCGGTAACGAGAGAGGCAAGGACCCGAGGAACAAGAGGACGAGCGGCACGAAGGTAGTCAGACAGCGGGGGGGGTGCAACAAAAAGGGAAGACGGAGGAGGCGACGGCAGAAGAGGAGGACGAGACGCGTGGGAACGAAGCAACATAGGGTGGGAGCGCAGGACAGGCGAGGCAGGACGAGCACGGGAGGGACGGTGAGACCAGACGTGCGACGGAGGAGTCGGGTCAGGAGACACAGGAGGGGACACAGGAGGGGAACGAGGGGGAAGACGGGCCGGGGACGAGTCCGACAGAGGGAAAACAGGGCCGTAGACAGGAAGAGGAGGAGACGGTCGGGGAGGAACCGACGCAGGGTCGGGGGACGGCAGGCCGAGCAGGCGAAGGGCTGACACCGGCGGGGACTGCTGCTGCGGCGGCACAACGGCGACACCGGGACCGCTAGCTGCTCCTCGGCTACCCCCGACACTCTCCACACCAGCACCCCCAGAGGGACCACCCCCAGGGCTACCGGGACGAGCACCCCCAGAGGCAGCGAACGGGTGCTGCGACGGCGGCGGCGGCGGCGGCGGCAACGACGGCTGCAGTGGCGGCAGAAGCGGTGGAGGAGGGGACTGGGGAGGGGACACCAGGGGAGGGGCGGCTGACGAGGACTGCACAGGAGGGCCACCAGAGTCAGAAGACTCCTCAACCGGGTCCACCTACGGAAGGGGGGTGACGTGGGACACACCAAAGGGGGCGGGACGGGGAGGAGGAGGAGGAGGGGCAGGGACTACCGAGGAAGGAGGGACCAGGAACAGGGGGGGAGTAACCGGGGGACCACGGTGGGGGAAGCGACGGTAGTAGGAGACGGACTCGTCAAAGGTGACGTCACGAGAGTGAAAGAAGCGGTGAGACGGCGGGTGGTAAAAGTGCCAGTCGGACGCGTCAAGGGGAAAACCGAGGAAGACGCAGGGAAGGGTGCGGGCAGTGAGCTTGTCCGTGCCGGAGGCACGGACGTGAGCAAGGCAGCCCCAGACGTGGAACGCAGACGCGTCACCAGGAGACCCAGTCCAAAGACGGGTCGGCGAAACCTGCGGCTGCTGAGGGTGCGGCCACAGGTTAAGCTGGTGAGAAGCGTAGCACACAGCGAACGGCCACAGAAAATGGGGTGCACCGGCATGGATCATGGAGGTGCGAGCCACCTCCATGACCAAACCGATGCGTCGCTCAGCGACCCCATTCTGCTGTGGGGAGTCCGGTAGGGTGAACGTCTGGGTGATGCCCTCCGCACGACAAAAGCGACCAAGGACACCTGAGGCAAACTCGCCACCACGGTCTGAGTGAAGACGCAAGACAGGGAGACCGCGGTGGACACGCGCAGAGACAAGCCAGGGGATGAGAGCGCCAGGCACGTCAGCCTTGCGCTCCAGGGGAAAGACTGTGGTGTAGCGTGTGAAGTCGTCGACAAGCACAAGGAAGTAACGCTCTCGACGCGGCCCAGGGACAGGGGCGGGGCCCCATACGTCCAGGTGCAGGGTCTACAACGGCGCGGCGGTAGGGGGAAACGAGGAGGAGTGAGGGGCACGGCGAAGCCGACCCTCGACACAAGGCGTGCAAGGTGGGGCTGGGGAGGAGGGAAACGCAGGGAGAGAACCTGGGAGACCAAGGACAAGACCGTGCTGGGACATGTGACGCAGACGCGGGAGTGCAGGGTGACCTAGGCGGTTGTGCCAAAGGAGGGTCGGGTGAGTGAGGGACCGACAGGAGCAGGCGGCAGCAACCTGGGTGAGCGCTCCAGCCGAGGGGGGTCACGTGTCCAGAGTGAACAGGCCGGACACCGGGTCCCGGGGGAACGTGGACAGGGGGGCACCAGTGGCGGCCTCGGTACAGACAGCATACCGCTCGTAGACCAGGGAACGTAGTGGTGACGCCAAGGTCCTGGAGGCAGCCGACACCAACTAGGTCCTGGAGAACGAGGGGATATGCAGACCTGTAAGAGAGCCCGAAGGAACCGCCGGACAGGGAAGGGTGGTGGAACTGCGGGCGACTACCGGACCGCCAGAGGGGTCAGCGAGAGAAACGGCAGCAGGGACGGGAAGCGGCGTCAGGGTGGTGGAGTCGCGGAAGAAACACCGAGAAGCGCCAGAGTCCAAGGTGAAGGAAAGCGAAGCAGAGGCGTCTGGCGACGGAACGACGGCGGAAGCACCAAGACTACACAAAGCAGAGGATCCTACGCTGACGCAGCAGGGGAGGGTACACTAGGCACACCTACACTAGGCAACAGTGAGTAATAAGCGGGAAGCACACTAGAGTCATCAGCATACATCACATGCAGAGCAGAAACAATGGCATCCATGTCCATATCAAAGATCTGAATCTTACGACTAAGCAAACTGTGCCAGTCCGGGAGGTCTGGCGACGGGCCGAAGCGCTGACGAAAGAGGTCGTCCAGGCGACGAAAACAGCGGGGAGTGGAGTGACCGATCTTACCGCAAACGAAGCCGCGCGAGGACCGGTCTGGATCTGGTACTGACAGCGCCCGCCGCCAGAGCTACCACTCGACACACCACCACGCGCCCGGCCACCGCCAGCGCCGGGCCACCCGGGCGGGAGGACACTCGTCTGCCGCGCTGCGACGGCTGCGGCGGCTGCTGCGACGGCTGCGACTGCGGCGGCTGCTGCGGCTGCTGCAACTGCAGGGGCGGCGGCTCAGCTGGACTGGGCAGGGTCCCCTCGTCCGCTCCAGCACCAGACGACCCGACCCACCACTACCCCCTCCCGCACCCCGCCGCCGCCTCCGCCGCGCCCAACCTTGGGGCGGCGGCCCTTCCCCGAACGAAACTGCGCTGCAGCAGCAGTCTCAGCCACTGCACAGAGCCGTCGGAGAAGGTACACTGGGCGGGGGCA